AATACGGAGAACAAAGAGAAGAAAGAGAGGGACTGGACTGGGGTTCTTCGTCCTCAACAACAGAGAAGAGAGAGAGGGAAGATTCTCGTCTTCGTCGATGAACACCAGAATGAAGAACAGAAGAACAGAAAAGGGCTAGACTGGGCTTGCTGCCTTCGTCGATGAAGAATAGGGAGAAGAGAGAAGACAGAGAACAGGATTTGGGAAGATTCCTACCTTCGTCGATGGCTCTTGTGCCTTCGTCGGGGCTAGACTGGGCTTGCTGGTCTTGTGTCTTCGTCGTCGCTCGTGAAGAACACCCAGACCAGAAGGAAGACACTGAAGATGGAATGAGAGGAAAAAGAGGGATTTATTTTTTTTCTAAACCCTAGCCTCAAAACGACGTCGTTTTGAGTGGCAGGGATAAAAAATCAATCTCTTTAGTCAAAACAACTTCGTAAAAAAAACAAAAAAAATCAAGTTTTACCGGTATCGTTCGTATTGTACCGATACGTATTGTATAGTAAAAATGTATCGTGTATCGGACGATACAACACAAAAACGATACATAACTACGCTCCGTATCGTTTTAGGCCTATATCATGATATATCATACAATACGTATCGCGTATCGTACGATACTAACAACTATGCCCACAAGTAACTGAAATATTCAAAAAGCAGGTATGTACCTTCCCTCCCTCTAACATCATCTCTGACATCTTATACTCTCCACTGCCTCTGGAAGGCTCCCATAAAGACTCTCCATCCTGGGGCCTTACAAGAAATGAAAAATTCTCTATTAAATCTGCTTATAGTTGGATCTTTGAACCTAATCTAAGTCAGCATCATGGTTTAAACTAGAATTGGCTTTGGAAGCTTGGGATACCACAAAAACTTAAGCACTTTTTGTGGCTGGTCCAAAGCGACAGACTCCTCTCTAACTCCTTGAGGTTCACAAGAAACCTCACGATTTATCCTTCTTGTGAAAGATGTAGGGCTCACAACAAAAGCACAATTCATATCCTAAGAGATTGCCCAAAAGCTGGTCTGGTCTAGGATTCATTGCTTAACAGGAAGGATCTCCACCTAGATTAATCTTTGGACCTCCATAATTGGCTCATTAAAAACTATAAAGTTAGAAAGAATATTTGTTGGAAAGGAGTGAAATGGCCCATTCTTTTTGCTTCTCTTATATGAAACATCTGGAAATATAGGAATCAAGATTGTTTGGGTAACACAAAAACCCCCCACATATCATTGCTAAGAAAGTTTGGACACTGGCACGGGATTCATCCGATGCATTCAATGAATCCCATATCAACATTAATCCTAATCCCCCCCAAACTCATTGATTGGTCTTTCCCTCCTACGGAATGGACGAAGTTGAATGTGGATGGTAGCTCAAAAGGGAACCGTGGCTCTACTGCAATAGGCGGACTGCTTAGAAACAATCAAGGAAGATGGCTGACAGGTTTCTATGGAAAGCTTGAGGACTCCACGAGCCTTCAAGCCAAACTGTGGGCTATCTATCAAGGCCTCAAGATCATCCAATCAAAGAACCTCAAGAAGGTGATCATAGAGACCGACTCCTTGGATGCCCTCAACCTAATTACTGCTAGGTTGGAGGATCTCCACCCGAAAGGAATATCATTGCCAACTACAAGCATATAATAGGGTTGATTAATACAGAAAATTTTTGTGCTGATAAGTTGGCAAGCCTGGGAGGGCTTCAACTGGATTATTTTGTGTTTTGGGATGTCCCACCGCCTGTGTTGGGAAAGCTTCTTTTGAATGACCTTGCATGTATCTCTTTTGCTAGGGGTTTAGATAACCCGTTGGTTTTTTCCTATGTACCCCAAAAACAAAATGTTCGCTGTGAATTGAGCAAAACAAACCCCTCAAATCAATAATCATTTCCGTACTCTCCATGCGTAACGCATATACATCTAACATCGCTTTTAAAGATAATGTAAAGATTCGAGCTAGTTTGTTTCTATTTTCCCAGAATTTCTAGGCAATTGACCAAGGTCTAAGAGTTTTCTTACGAAAGTTGTCTTTCAAGCATTTGCTCGAACAAGTAGTAGCCATTTCATATGTACCCACATTCAACAACAAAGGCTTACTTCTTAACAGATGAGAGAGAGGGTATTACCTGTGCTGCTTCTCTTCGTCGGGGAGAGGCGAGTTCGTAGTTTGAATGAGCGTTTTGTCAATTGTCACCCAACTCGTAGCAGATCCTGTGACGAGAGAATCGCTAGGATACGGATTACGGACACCATGACGGCACTCTTCAAGAAATTATATGGGAGAATTATACTTTATGCCCAATAAGATTTTAAGATTCTCATTTTATACTTTTAAATATTAAATTTATCATATTATATCTTAAATGAATCAAAAATATTATAATGCAACATTTCTATTAACTTTTTGTTAGTTTTTCGTCGGTATCAATGAATTGACTTTTGACAAAAAAAAATAACAAAAGCTAATAGAGGGGTAACATTATAATATTTTTGATATATTAAATGTATAATATAAAAAAATTTAATCTTTAAAAATATAAAATAAAAATATGAAAATCTTTTAGATATAAAGTATAAAAAAAACTAACTTATATTGATGGGGTTTGGATTAGGCAAATATTATTTTTTTGATATACAAATAATCCTTAAACTATAAATTTTGTGCCAATTAGGGGTTATCACCCTAAATAAGAATTATGATATTTTATTTTCTTACCTGATATTTTATAGAATAATTTTTTTTTATCTACTCTACTCGATCTAATGTACTATTCTTACCTAAATTCTATCCAAAACAATTGAGTAGAAAGCCGGATATAAAATTGAGTGAACACATGTTTTTTAGTTATTAATTTTTTGATCATTTTAAAATTTTAATTAAGTAACCTGCATCAATTAACTAACATAATAAACCTATAAAATTAAATATAATATAATAAATTCAATAATACATAAATAAGTACAATAAAACACAATACGAAAGCCATAAATATCAATACATCATATATAAGAAAGTCATAAACATTAATAAAAATATTAGACTTTTTAAATTTTTGGATTTTAATTTTTAGAGATTAATATATATATACGAAAAATTTTATAGGTATTTTGCATTCTTATCCGATTTTTTTTAGAATACCAATAGATTTTCAGTTGACCTACTCAATTCTTTCGAGTAGCCGATCAGTAAGATCGCATAGGGTAGGGTAAGATCAAAATTTACAGATAATCATAAATTTGAACACATCTAGCGTCAATTAAGCATCTAAACTAATTTTCATATCAATTAAATATATAAATTTTAGTAATTAAGCTCCTGAACAAAATTTCATGTCAATTGCGAATCCAAACTCAAAATTTTTAACAATTAAGCCCTCCTATCAATAGTTGTCAGATTTTTTAACATAATGTGCGGCATATTCACTACATTGACAACAAATTACAGATATTTTAGACTTTTCGTTCGAAATCTATAAGGCAAAAAATATCATTCCTTATACCTATCGACTAAAATCCTAAACCTAAAACCTCTTTCATACCCATAAAAAAAATAGATCAACAAGCTAACATTTATGCAATCTATTTTCTGCACTACCAAATAAAAGAATTTGTTGATCTGCTTCATTTGATGAGTACCAAAGAGGTTTAAATTTAAGATTTCAGTTGATAGGTATAAAAAATGGAGTTCTTTGTTTAATAAGTTTCGAATGAACAGTCTAAAATACTTCTAATTTATTGTTCATATAGTGAACACATGAGAAATTACATCAAAAAACTTAATGGTTATAGACATAAAGGCTTAATTGTTAAAATTTTAGAGTTTTGGGATTTCAATTGACACGAAAATTAGTTAAGGGACTTAATTGCTAAAATTTTAAAGTATAAATGGTCAATTGACACAAAAATTAGTTTAGAGACTTAATTAGTACAAGAGTCATAGTTTTAGGGTTACTTGTATAATTTATTTTATTTTTTTATACAATAGTTAAAATATATTAATTATGGCAAAAAAATAGTCAAATAAATAATTTAAAATATAAATAGACAAATTATAAAATAAATAGTATGATGTAAACGATCTGAGCCAACCTTCTATTTTATTATATAAATTGTTTGTCATTTTCTTTAAGAGTTCTATTCTATTCATTTTTTTATACTTATAATTCAGTCATACTTCACTTTAATAATTTACAATAATCAAGCATTGCATATAAAAAAATAATATAGAATTATGACACTAATCAAAACTTAGATTAAAAAATAGGTTTAGATCATTCTTAATATATAAAATATTTTATACTAATTTGGTGTAAAATCTAAAGTTCAATCGAGTTTTAAAGTTTTATTTTATCGAATTTCATTATAAACAAAACCATCAATAATATATATATATATATATATATATATATATATATATATATATTTTATTTATATGATTCCGACGAGACTCACTTGTGATGAGATTTAAATTAGAACATCACTTAAAAAAAAATAAAAAACATAAATTGTTGAAATTTATAACACAAATAAATGATCGACGAAGTTAAAAACGAAATCAAGATTTTATTATGGAGGGCAAACTCTATTAACAAATTGGCAATGTACAAAAGTTAATCAAACAAAAATAATGAATATTTAATATAAATAAAAATATCCAAGAAAATAAACTAAAGTAATAGTTTTTTAATACATATCTAAGTCTCGAAATGTCTATTAAAGTGAAATTCAATGTTGTTTTCTACTGTGAAATTCATCTATGGTTGAATTTATTCTAATTTTTTCAGCAACTGCTTTTTCTATATACACAATTAAAGAATCGGAGTTGTCTAATTGCAAATAATTAGTTTCTTTTAATCTCATATTAAGCAATAACCAAAACCCGCCGGTCAAGACATGAACTCAGCTGAGTGCACCCAGACCGAGTTGCCTCAGAAATATCACAGCTTGGATTAGACAAACAGACCACAATACCGGACACCAAAACCTTGCTAAAACCTCTCTCTCTCTCTCTCTGTTAGACATACAAAAATACATAGGGGTAGCCTTTAAGTGTTCTTCTTTGGTCTCAAAATGCAAGTGTCATTGAGCATCACACCTTCTAACTTCCCTTCTCTCTCCCCATTCCACCAAACCACCACACACCCACCTTCCAAACTCCTCTCAACCCATCAAAAACCAACACACAACCACTCACTCCACACCCATTTTAGCCCTCTACATGCCGCAAAAGGATCTGGGTTTTTATCTGCAATTGGTCGAGCAATTGAAGAAGAAGAGTACAGAAAAGCCCGGGCTGAGGTTAATCGCAAAGCGGTCGATTTAGAAGGGTATTCAATTGAGGGGCTTTCGATTGGTGGGCATGAAACCTGTATCATTGTTCCTGAATTGAAGTGCGCGTTTGATATTGGGAGGTGTCCCTCAAGGGCTGTTCATCAAAACTTTTTGTTTATTACTCATGCTCATCTTGATCACATTGTAAGGTTTCGTTACTTAATTTACTAGAATTCATGTTATGTATTTATAGTTCATAGGCTGTTTGGATTTGTTAATAAGGCCAAGTTCCTGCTTTTACTTGATAGTGAGCTTGTTAGCATAATTTACCAGATTTTCATAGTTTCAGTTGAAGTTTGGACGTCACTTTCATTTTGTTCTTGGTGAGTCTGTGGTTCCTAATTATTATTTTGAAGTTTGAATTGACAGTCATTTTGTACTCGGTTGGTCTGTTGTTCCTTCTTGTTATTCATGCTTGCCTGGATGGATGGGGATCATATCACATTTTTCAGTGGACAACCCTGTATCTGTATTCACAGTGGTAATGAAAGGCTTTTGATATTGATGATTTGTTCTCATAAAAATGGGAATTTGTGCATTTATAAGTTGCTCAAATTTAAAAACTGACAATGCAGCAAAAGTTGCAAGAAGATCAAAATTTTTTCTTCTGAGGCACAAGGATGGGGAGGGGATTTGAACCTGGGTTGTCCAAATCCTCACAGTTGGCATGTTGCCACTAAAAATGGCTCTAGATGAATATATCTATTGGTATATCAGGTTGGGTTTGTTTCTACTTCCCACGCAGTCATTATAGAAATCTCGAATGCACATTTTCTGAAAATGAAATATATACTGGATGCAAGACCGTCCTCTTTTGTCAACTGGACGCTATAAGTAAAAAGAGTTTAATTTCTTAAAGACACTATAGTGGACTGGAATTGTACACAATGTGATGTTTTGGTCATAAAATGCACCGAAAAGTTGCTTGTTTTTCAGCTGGAAGATCAGGCCTTATGGGTGTACCTGGATTTGCATGACCTAATTATTTAGTTATTAAGGAATCGCCATATATGTTTTAAAATAACATAAATACCATTTTCAATCTACACTTGGATTCAATCAAAGGGCATCTGATTTATTTAGGCACGATCACATATTAACATGAGTGAGGTTAGCCCCAAAATTATAAGGTAGGGTTATCTCTGTTTATGACCTTAAACACAAGTCTTCAAAGATAAGTAAGTATTTGGGTTCAGTACCCACGATGGCTTGACTAATGAATTGCTGTTCAGTATTTGGTATACCTTTTGTTTGATTGTACCTCAATATGTTCAATTTAAAATCAGTATTTGTAATGTTGCTGAGCATTGTCATTTCCATTCATTAGGGTGGGCTGCCAATGTATGTGGCAACTCGGGCTTTGTACAGCTTAAAACCTCCAACGGTTTTTGTGCCTTCTTGTATTAAAGAGGATGTGGAGAAATTATTTGATATTCATAGGGCCTTGAGTGAGGTGGAACTGAACCTTGATTTGGTTGCATTGGATGTAGGTATGGGTTTAATGTGAGATGCATTTATTTGATGAGTTTATGGCTCTTAATGTAAACCATGATATTTTGTGTTTAAACTCAGGGGACACATACGAAATGCGGAATGACCTTGTCGTGCAGCCATTCAGAACCCACCATGTTATAGCCAGCCAGGTAATTTTCATCAAACCAGTATTCATATGAACCAATTCCTCCAGAGATATGGAATGAGTTGTTCCGTCTCTATTAGCATCAATCCATTCTTTATTCACAAAAAATTTAATAAAAGTATGTACCTAATTATCTTCCAATAACTTGCCAGGCAAGTCTTTATATAGTAATATAGATAGGATAGAAATTAAGTGAACTGATTTTCCACATACTTCAGACAGAGAATTTTCCTTGGTATATGTCATATGAAGTCTTTGATCCAAGAGTCCAAAATCCTCTATCATGAATATTTTCAAGATTGAATGTCTGCTTTGCGAGGCCATCGCATGAGTGGTCTTGCACCTCAAAACCACATGCCTTGGATTTTGTACCTTAGTTGCTGTACTAAAGAACTTATTCCTGGAATCTGGGACTTCCATGTAATTTATTATCTTAATAATTTGTACCTTCTAAGTTTCTTCAGCGTCTTTAATCTGGAATTGTTCACGACCAAACTAGTTGCTTTCTTATATGGTCAGGGTTATGTCATTTACTCTGTCAGAAAGAAGCTGAAAAAGCAATACATACATCTGAATGGAAAACAGATTGAGAAATTAAAGAAGTCTGGCATTGAGGTCTGATATATTTCATACTCTTGGTTAGGTTTCGTTATATTCAGATTTTTTTTTTTTTTAACATCAAAGTTCAATTGTTAGATCACAGATACCATATTGTGTCCTGAGGTGGCCTTCACAGGAGATACAATGTCAGATTTTTTCGTTGATCCACGCAGCGCTGATGCCTTGAGGGCCAAAATTCTTATAACTGAGGTAAAGTGTCATGTTCTTGCATTCATGCTGATTTTCTTGCTAACATTCTTTTTCTACGCTTCGTGAGCTCAAGTTGCGTTTTCTGACAGAATGTGTCTGGATACCTCCTCTAATCTGTTGATATGGCTCGGAAAATTATGGGCAAATTGCATGTGTGCAAGTTTTATTGGTCTATATCTATGGAGTCATTGATTGGTACAGTGGCACGATGCTGGTGTTGTCTGAGTAAGATTTTCCGAGTTTGAGAGTAACCACTTTTGAGCAAAAGTATTCAGAAGGTCCCGTATCTTCTCTATCCCTGCCAGCATCCTATGTTGGGAGAACCAGAATTAAATATTAGCATTTCTATACTTTAAGTTTAAGAGGAACATGAGCTGTGCACGACACTTATGATATGTAATCAGAGCACATAGTTCATATTTAGGAGTTAGCAGGAGGAGGATTTAGTATAGTATCCCGTGTTATTTCCAATGACTAGTTTTTGCACTTCTGATTTTAACATGCTTATATTAGAGAAGTTTCCTGTAACTGGCACATTAGACATTCCCCTGTCCATGTGTAATGTGAGGTCGCTTACACATCTTTTTGGAGTGCCCATGTTAGGTGGACTATTGCTAGTGGAACTTTATGGGATATAAATATTTATTTGGAGATCATAGTGTCCCAACATCCCTTAGCAGCTTGCCTGATTTGGTGATTGTTTCAAAACTCTGGCTTTGAGGAATTATTGTATTGTAAAACTCAAACCCTTGCAAATCTAAACCACCACCCCTAAAAACCCTGGGTGGACTGCAGCCATGGTTCAAAGTCACAGTATCGATCATCGACTCGGAGGCTCTGAGACACATTGGTCGTGGTGCGGTATTGAGCGATATGACCTAAAAGAAAATGTTAAACATGATGAAAAATTCAGATCATATCATGATGTCGTGGAACCGTATCGACTGATTTGGTGACGATAACTCGGCGACAAGGTCGAGTCATGCATGACTCGGGGTTTATATGTATCATGTAATGGCATCGTCGCATAAAGTGCCGAGTTGAATGCGACTCAACCGACTCATACTGGTATCGGCCGATACTTTGAACCATGACTGCAGCCGGGGAGATGGGGCCCTGAGATTTTGCGAAGAATAAATGCAATTTCAAAGCATCAGATATGTAAAATTACTAATCCATAAAAAAGCTGAGTGTTTAGCTGCCCTTATGGTTGCAAGCTTCATTCTACTGATGGTTCTGTTGACCTTCTTCTTTGATGTGGCTTTCTTTCTTCCTTTCTTTGCTTTCAAGATCTATTATTAGTTTACACAAATAATGCTTCTTAATTCTGATATATAGACATCTTACTTCTTCAGAGTTCAATCAACTACTACTTTTTGCTTTTTCTTAATGTCATATGCATCACTTATGTTTCTGGTTCTTCAATCGATAGAGAACTGTTAGGGTCTTGGTTGATCCAAGAGAAAACTGAAAAAAAAAGGGAAACATTTTGCCAAGTGCCTTCATTTTGAAGTAATTTTTCGTATGAAGGCCTTTTGCTTTTTGAACAGGCAACTTTTTTGGATGAAAATTTCAGCGTTGAGCATGCACGAGAACATGGTCACACTCACCTATCTGAGGTACATCAAATACTAAGAAACTTGGGCTTGGAAATGGAAGCTACGTGTTTTAAGCGAGCTCCCAATACCCTCGTGGGGTATATCTATTTTGTTTAAAATCTATGACATGATAGGAGAGCCTTTTGGCAGGACAAATATGCTAATACTAGTTGACCATCAGACTTGCCAGGAAGTTTATTGGTTCTTTAAAGTCTATTTACTTGTTCATGCTTAAGTAATGGATTATTGAAGCTGCAGATCATACAGCATGCTCAATGGATTCGGAACAAAGCCATTTTGTTAACTCATTTCTCGTCCCGCTACAGTGTTGAGGTAACTAAATCAATTAACCATATAAGATGTTGCTTAATAATGGCAATACTTAATTTTTCTCCCTCAGCTTGAAATTTCGTTACCTCGTGCTCGGGGGTCATTCCTAATGGCCCTGCCCAAAGAAGTCACTCCTAATTGTCATAAAAGGATGTTGTTCATATGAGTAATAGAATTAGAGTAGAGTCCTTGCCCATCTGATATGAAGGCTTGGCAGCCTCATTTAACAGGCGTCAATAGCCTAGATGGTCCAGAATCTGTATGTTATCTCGATGCTTCATCACGCACACCTCTTTCATGGGGCCTGTTTTATGATGATCATTAAGGCTCTTCTGTAAGCCACAAATACAGGACAGAAGATGCTTATGGGGTAACTATTGAATGCTGCAGACCAACTTACATGAATGCTAATGTATAGCAATTGCTGTCCCCTGAAGGAGCACGTTAGATAGCAATTTGAAACTCACTTGCACCAGCAAATGCTCGTTTAGTGCTAGTGCATAAACTTGCATAGGCATTGCCCTTGGTTTTTTGTCTTTACCAATCGTGCTGAGAATTTCTCACTGTCAATTACAGGACATTCGTAAAGCTGTATCAAAGTTGCAGTCCAAGGTGTCGGCCAAAGTAGTTGCTCTAACTGAAGGCTTTAAATCAACATACACATAATTGGGTGGTTTTTAGGAATTACAAAGTCCCTAAGATTTCTATTAGAATCTGTAAATCAGTTTGTTGTAATTGATTCTTAAAAAAAAAATCCAGATTTTTCCTCCAATGGGATGGATGAAAAATGTGTTAATTGTACCATCCCTTGTACTGTACAATGTAGTTGTGTATGAGATGATCTAGTTGGGGGTGTAAGAGTTTTTTCCTGCGAAATGATGAAAAGAAGAATAATGTTACAAAACTTAAATAAAATTCAAAAAATTATAGTATAAAAGCATATCATCTCTTGGATAAGTGAGTTTATCAACTTTTTTAGTGGGATCTATTTATCCAACACTCATTCAAAGAGTAATATGTATTTGGGTTACAGTTTTTATGTTTCATTTTGACTTCCGAAAAGAGCTAAATTGACTGAGAATCTTAGCAGCATCGCTTATTCCTCACAATGAACGTGAACTGCAGAGTTGTGCCAACTAAACCTGTTTTCAAGGTACCTTCATAACCTCAAAACATACAAACTGCCTAAAGGACCTTAATATTCTTCTACAGGCCCATCTGTTCTTTCAACTAAAAGATGAATATATCAGACCTCAAAAACATCTCAAATGATATTTTGCCTACAACTACAAATGTTACAAGAGAAATATGGAAAATGAACTAGATTCTGGCATTAAAGATCCTCTCCCTGGTCAATATAATTGCTCCCTATCCAGAAATAAACTCCAGGCGCAGAGGATGCATACAGGATTTGGAGAATGATACCCCTGTGGCTTACATTAATTAAGTACCAAACAAACGTGGCCAATCATCAGCTTATGAAGTAGAGGCAAAGAGCAGGCAAGCATTTGTTCCTCCAAAACCGAAAGAATTTGACAGGGCCGTTTTAATTGGCATCTCTTTTGAAGCAGTCAAAGGCATGAAACCAGCATTAAAAATGGGATCTGGATGAGCGAGATTAAGTGTCAATGGAGCAATGCCCTACAGTAAAACAATCACCAAGGTGTCAATAGACCATACTATTCAGAACAACAGATGGAAAGATTAGGAATTAGTTGGCATGCAAGAGTGCAAAAAGTAGTAATATATCTGTGCGAATGGTTGCTGACCAATTACTATTGATCTCTTTTCAAGAAACTGTTATGGACTCTATCAATTCATTCATCGATGCAAACTTATTTGAATAAATAAATTAACACCTCTCCTTTGCACCATTAAGATGACCTTCATTAATATACCATCATGTTATGTCCTTGAGATATACTGTTGCATTTTATGCAAGTCCTGTGCGGGATGAACCTCCTAAAGGTTAGATCATCTCATCCATGCAACAGTCATGCACCACATGATCACATTTCATTGATGATCTCACTAGAAATTTCACCATCTCAGTCATGATCTCATCAAGAACTTTCACAATCTCATTCAAATAATTTCATGCCTGTGCTCATCTACATAATGACCATGGGGGTTAGCTTGAATGGTATCTTTGTCACGCACAGAAGGGGAACTATTGGGTTCTATTCCCAACTACGGCGTTTGTTTCCCTTATCTAAAATACAGAAAAAGAAATTCTACACCATGAACTCATTAAGAGGTAATTATGGTGCACTCATACAATGGGCTAAAGTGACCAATTGAGTTCAAATTAAGAAGGAATAACTCGAGTGAAAATTCAACAATGAGGAATCTTTCGGATTATTGTTCATAGCTGGGGAATCAACTAAGAAAAATGAATCATAAATGGGAAGAGGCAAAAATTTGTTTCACAATGGGACGTCCTTACATAGTGTATGGCCAGAACTGCAAAAATTGCTTCCACAGCTCCAGCTGCTCCAAGGAGATGGCCAATAGCACCCTGAAGTGACAAACAGAAAAGTAGGTAGGCATATCATAAAGTATTATAAAAAAAAACAACAACACAATGTAATTTCCTATAACTAATAAATTATAATGCTCAATGAGTGTGAACATAAATCTCTTAAAAGTTTTGCAGTCAAGGTGCCACACATCATTATTCTATAGTAATCTGGTAATTTTGAAAAAGATTTAGATATCAGACACAACATATGGAAAAGGTACTAAAATTTGATTGGCTTGATGAAAAGTTCAAGAGTAAGTTAAGAAGGCGAAAGTAGGGTTGTGTAAGCCCTAACATTCTGACACCACCCATCTGAAAAACAGATTCCATCCATAAGTTTTATAAAAACAGCCCATTAATAAAACAATGATAGTTAATTCTCTTCTCTTTGTCAACTATTTTTACGCACTAAAACACCCAAAGTTACCTTTGTGGACGACAAGGCTAAAGCACCTGATTCTGCATGATTGGAAAAGATAGATTTAATGGCATTTGCTTCCACTGCATCACCTGGATAAGATACATAAGCGATATAAGCCATTTTCATCTTAGTTTCAGTACATCCTAGTACTACAAATTTCACCACCTTAAAGCTTACAATGTAGCAACTATAAAGGTCAAAATTATTTACCCAGAGGTGTTGATGTAGCATGGGCATTTACATAGTCCACCTGATTGGGATGGAGACCAGACTGCCACCAAAATGTCAGGAATACACAAACTTCATTCCACATGTACCTTAAGAAGATATTTGATGAATGTTGGAAACATGCTGTTTATGAATTGCAGACCGACAAACATTCAGAGCATACATCTCAGCACATTACCTGTTTTAAAGCACGTGTCATGGCCAAAATGGCGCCTCTTCCATCAAGATGTGGTTGAGTAATGTGATATGCATCACCTAAAGAAGGTTACCATATTCAGAAATCAATAATATGTAGAAACATATGTACAATATAGTGGCAGTAATAATATAACATATAACTGGAAACAAACCTGACATCCCGTAACCACGCACTTCCGCATACATCTTTGCTCCTCGCTTTCTCGCATGTTCTAGTTCCTATAATTTTAAAATACTCATACAAGTGAGGGGATGAAGAAGACAATTATCCAAAAGCATCTAAAAACGAGGTAAGCACGCAACAAGAGGATTTCAAAAAGGTTGGCAAAGGAATAATAATAGAGAGCTAAACACAAATGGGTGTTGTGCGGAAAGCAGAAGAAAGTCATTATATGTTGTTGAGGCACATCAAAATCTTATTCATCCAAATCTTGACATCGTAAATCTTTATACTTCTTCATCAACAGCATTTTTTATATTCAGTGTTTTTGCATCATGCATTACCTTCCATTGTACATAAACTAAGACCTGGCTGAGTATCTAACCTAACAGTAACACTAAGGGCACATTCATTACTGACAATCAGGCAAAACTCCTCTGGTCCTACCACAGAATTTATCAAAGCTTGTAGGAAGAAATTGTTTCATGGAGGACTCATCAAAGCTGTCCAGTAATAATGACAAGAAGGGAAAAAATTGGTGGAAGCTTTCACCCTGAAATCAATGTTAAAGCTAAATATGTGTTGCTACCAGGACATCCTGGGTCAGAAGCTCATGTGACAATATGGCATATCAACTTTTCAACTGCAAATCCACGAATCAAAGCAGATACCCCTTCAACAATCCAACAATTTGATATCTATGGTTCTCGAATTCGCAATTTGGCCGCCCATAATGCTCAATGATTTGGGAAGGCTATTCCTGTTACAACCTCGGGCACCAGAACACCCAAAACTAAATTTTTGCTAAGTTCCTCAATCAATAAATAAGATTTATATAGACAATGATGAATAAGCAGCAGTGAGAAAAGAAAATTGAAGCGATGGCAGACTATAACCCGGTTCAGAAACTAGGACAATGCCTCTAAAATATATATTAAAACTTTAAAGATCTACTTTGGAGACGTGTTGGAAATCTCAAGGAAACCTTAAGAAACTACTGGGAAACTTGCATAAAATTTGATGGAAACAGTTCCAGAAAATTCTCTATAAGATCCTTAGGCCCTTTTTCACAATTCCGTTTCTTTGGTGTTTCCCCCTTCTGCTTCCGATTCTGGCAACCAGCAGCCATGACCCTTTTATGTTGATCTACATTTCTATTAAGAAAACTATACCTTGAAAATTTATTATCAATTCAAATGAAAAACTATCAATTTAAACCTATTACTACATTTTCAAATCACATAATTCATAATTAAAAAATATTGCTTGTGGTTATTTACAAAAACTAGTACACTATTTCGTGCTTCCTCTCCTGCTCTTGCTTCCTGCGTGTGACTTAGGTGACACCCTGTTATGGTTATGGCCCACCTTCTTAGACATGGCAGCTAAAACTTTGTGATATACTCATGATAGAAATCAACTCAAAATGGCCACCAAGGACGAATCCTGGCAAAATGATAATTGATTTATGGGAAGATTAAGAGGTCTTCAAACATCAAAAGGCATGACACAAATTGGTAGCACGTATCAGCCAATGATGAAGTATGTCAATCTACTTGAACATCAAGCATACGTGTCAATCACAACACGCTAAGAAATCAACATGTGACATAATTTTAACTAGACTGTGTTCTCAACCAACATGCAGGGTTTGGAAATTACTGCACAAACTATTTAACTCTTGTGCCACCTTAACTGAATAACTGAAAATGGTGATTAAAATTCTTCACAAAATATGCCACAACTCACCTCCAACAGTAAAACACCACAACCTTCACCTATCCTGCATTGGAACTGTTTGTTACTTTGACAAGGGTAAAGCTGAAACAATTGAGATAAATGCATTTTACACAAAAATTCAGCATATTGGAAGTATTTACTTACACAAATCCATCTCGATCACAATCAAAAGGTCTTGAGGCTTCTTGTGGAGCAAAATTGCACTTCGTCGTCAAAGCCCTTGACCTACATAGTAAAATAATAGCATCATACAACGCCAATACACGTAAGAATATCATAAAGTAAAGTAAATATTTCTTGTTAGATCCAATTGTTTGACCACAATTTCTTTGCTGGTTCTTTCCAGAAATCATAAATGATTAAATGCATTATTCGTTTCCTTCTGAACCGAAATAACTACAAGTCATGCTAATCTATTATGTGGTTATTTGAGTGAGGAGCATTACCTACAAAATCCGGCTATAGATAAGGCATCAATGCTGGCCTCTGTTCCTCCGGCCACCATAACATCGGCATCTCCAAATTGAATCATCCTCGCAGCATCACCAATAGAGTGTGCACCAGTCGCACAAGCTGTCACTGCAGCATGGTTTGGCCCCTAGATTCAAAATCAAGACTAGAATATCGAACTATACCTTATATTTCACGAGTATGAAATTAAACACATTTGAATCACCCAAAAACTAACATGGACACAGAAATTGAATCAGAAAATAATAATATGAAGAGTTCAAAGACTTTCAAGGAATAATTCATATCCCCACCAAAAAAGGCAATGAAGGAATGATGGCACCAATGCTTCACTGTTAACATGTACAACACAAGGAAACCCTCGTTATCTTCATGGTTGGATTATTCCCATCTTTCAGGTAATATAAATTTGTCCCCAGTCAGTCCCTCTTGAATGCAAAGTCACTTAGTACTAATAGCATTTCTAATATTCCAGTCAATGGAAATTAGTGATTGGAATTTATAGACACCTCAATTTGACATCAGGCTTGATTAGTTTATTTTTGCCTTAATGATCTCTGACAAGTGACAATGAAGCCACAACGAACAAGAAGATGAAGCACCAAATGAACAGTCACCCACATGGGAATATTGCAGCATGTCCACCAATGTATCCCATAAGTATTCATATGTTCCTGGAAAAAAAAATTAGCAGTGGATGCACTTTTACATACCTGGAATCCATACTTCATGCTCACATGACCAGCTGCCATGTTGATCAGTATTCGCGGGATGAAAAATGGACTAAGCCGACGAACGCGCTGAGATCATAAAGCAGATAGTTGTCACTTATCTTGCTCGTGGTCTGGAGCCTTAGATGCTGTTTTTAAGGCTCTAGTTAAGGCCATCAATAGAAATGGATCAACTCAAAGAAGAAGCATGATTCATCAGATTTCTTTTTCCGTTCATCAGGCCCAAAAACTTAAAAAGAAACCAACCTTTTCACAAATCATTTGTGACGCGTCCAATATATCACTAATGCTTCCGGTTCCAGCACCTATGGAAACTCCCTGATGTTCTTCAAGTTAGAAATAGCTAAATAGAAATGACCTGTGACATAACATCTCCGCCTGACATCTGAAGAAGTAGAGCAATTACCGTCTTTTCCTTCTCCTCTTGCGCAGTGGGTAACCAATTTGCATCTCGAAGTGCTTCATCAGCAGCACATAAGGCATACCCAATAAACCTTGCAACTGATCTATGGTCCTGAGAAACAGAACAATGGAAGCTCTTGCATGAAATAGCTGACAGAGATCATATTAACTTTTTTGAATTAAAGAACAAACATGCATAAGCATAACTTTCTTGACAACCAAACAGATAAAGTCACTAACAAAACTTACAAATAGAAATTGAGGAGCGACAAACAGGAATAACTTTCTTGACAACCAAATAGATAAAGTCACTAACAAAAATTACAAACAGCAATTGATGGGGCATCCAAAAAGTAACTTATAATAAATACTACCTCAAAGCCAAGCACAATATCGCTGCCTATGTTTCTAGAACCTAGTGTACTCCTTCCATCAAAATATGGTAAATCAGAGCTTTCCAGCAGATTGATCTAAAACCAGCTAAGAATATGGCACAGCAGCCAGTTTATCATTCAATTCCCCTTATGGTTGTAGAGCAAGGGCACCTTGATGTGTGGATAAACAGGAACAAATTGTTCTACAATTGAGTAAAGAAGTAGGCTCTCATACTTTAACAATTCCAGCTGCTCGAATTCAGCACCTTTTAAATTGGCATTTTGACGATACGTTGAAATATAAGGTATAAAATTACCAAGAATTTTAGCACTAACGTTGAAACGAAAGCCTGCATCAATGTTCAAATTTAGTAACCATGACAATTGTATATGTAATATTGCCAAGATTTCACAACAAACGAAGGATTTTGTTCAAATACTGCGCATCAATCAGAGCTAAAGTGTACTTCACCTTAGAATTAAGCCACAAATCCTCGTTGAATTCACCTGGGTTAGTCCCAGAGGGCACAATGGCAGCAACTTTTGATGTCAACTGATCAAATGTATGCAACTGTGTCTCTCTATCAAACCCATTCATCTTCAGGTCGTCAGGAGTTATTGCCCTAATTCCACATTCCCCATTTGTTAGACGCTTCCATGTAGTCGCTACACCGCAACCTAGTGGCGTTACCATTCCTAAGCCTGCAATACCATCACAAACCATAAACCTTCAATACATATTCCTATAAAAGCATTCACTTAGACGCATATACATCAGAGAGAGAAGTGGGTGCGGAAAATTGAAACGCAAATTAATACTGAACTTGAAGCTTGAAATGAACGGGTAGGCATACATATATATGGCGAGAGAGAGAGAGAGAGGGGGTACCGGTGACAACAACTCTGCGATGAGGGACAGGAGGTGGGGGGTCAAATGCTTCAAATCTATAAGAAGAAGAAGTGAGGAAACGATTGAAATGGAAACAGGAGGGAATGCGTTTACGCCAATAAAGCCTCTTCATGGTTTTCTAAACCCTAATAATGGTGGATGGGTTTATGTCTGAAAATATGTGTAAGAGCCCCTCTGCTTCATCGAGCGTGTGTGTGTGTGTGAGAGAGAGATTCGCATTTTTCTTTCTTTCGTTTTTTTTTTTTTGGTGTTCAGCCTTGCGTCGCCGTCGACTACTCTACTCTTCTCAGCGGCTGTTCATCATGGCTCTCCTCTCGAGTTCAGTGGCTGTCCATGGTTGCCAGCTCTTATGCTCCTTGGTAAAAAATAATTAAAAGTAAAAGTAAGAGCCACGAAAAATATGTGGAATATATTTTTTATTTTTAAAGAAATAAAGAAAAAATGATATATTTTTTTTCTTTATGCTTGGTAGGATAGATGAAAAATAAAAATAATTAATATTTTTCTCTGTGCTTGTTAAGATGAAAAAGAAATTTTTTAAATTTTCAATTTTTTAAAATTTTTAATTTTAATTTTTTTAAAAAAAGTAAAAATATATAATATATATGTATATATCAAATGACATATACATATGTAGACAAATAAGATACATTTATATACAAATAATTAATTTTTTATTCACTTTTTTTAAAATTTTAGAAGAGTTAATTTTGGTGAGTTGAAAGAAAAGTTCATTCATCCACTTTTTCATCCTTCCTATTTTCCTTTCTTACCAAACATGATATTTTATCTACCCTTCCAACTTTCTATCATTTCATTTTTCTCTCGTACCAACTGAGCATTAAGGAAGATTGAACTTGAGACCTCTGAATTATCAAATGACAAATTCAACCACTAAATCACCCATTAAAGTTTTTTTTTTTTTTGTTTATTTCCATTTTAAGTGAAAAAATTTTAAAGGTATAATTTCCTTCTTTTTGTTTTTTTTGTCCAATACTATTATAAGGAAGGGAAAACAAATTTTCAACTTGTAACTTTAATGTGGGAATGATAGTCATCAGCGAACCGCTAACCTCCCATTGTTGAACTTAAAGGGGCTGTTTTTAAGAATTTACAAAATGGTCACTACATATAATTCTAATATAATTATACTAGTAATTGTCTGTGCTTGAAGACACGACGTAACGAAAAATTAGATTAAAACTCAAAAAATACTACATTACTTAAAAACTCTTTTACAACCTAAAATAACTTACAGTCAGACATAACAATTATCATAATTTATCATACCACCGCAATAATTAATACATACTCAATCATCAACATATATCCAACCACCAAAACATCATGCTAGTCTCTACTAATTTCAAGAAATTTCGGCAGAGTTTCCTTTAAAAATAGATCTCCAGAAAAATATAAACTTGTCTACAAAACTTACAATCATCATAATACACCATATCACCATAATCATCACTACATACCCAAACCACCAAAACAATCATCATTCTATACCCAAAATCATCATAACCATATATAATTAGTTAATTTCACAAAAGACAGAATACAAAAAATACACACATGCACAAATATTTGAAATAGAGAAACAACTTCGTATTCTTTACAACTTACACCAAGTATCCTTCAATGTATACCTGCAAATATTTGAAATATAAAAATTATCAAAATATGTGAGTCAAAATAAAATAATTGTAAATCCGAAACATAAGACCACTTACTTTTTTCATTAGTTGGATTCAATATAATTAATTACATTACCCTGAATTATCTAAAAAATAAATGAGCACACACATTTGTATGTAGTTGAGGGGGGGGGGAAATGATTTAGATTGATATAAGTAAGAATTTAGAAAGATTGTAACAAGTTATCAATTTATTTAGGAAAAGATATGGAGGAATGTAGAGACTTACAATCAAATTAGGTTTTCTTAGTACCATTTCAACAAACGGTTCATTTGCTTAATGATTTCAATCATAAATCTGTATTGGTGGCAGTATAATAGTGTGTGAGTTTGATTTACGAGTGTTTGATTGGTTACAGTTATGTGTGTGTGTTTGTGCATGTATTGTGTGTGTTGTCTGCATGAGAAGTAGAGAAATATAGAGAGTCTTAGTAAGAAAGACTTTCACACCTAGACAATTGTTTGGTCAGTGATAGATTAGTTATTGTCAAAGGTGGACAGGTCGGTACTGAATTGCATATCATTTAACTCTTTTAAATGTCTTTTTCATCCCTTTAAATCTTCTCTTCATCACTATCCTTAATGTCCTCATATCAATACGAACGCACTTTGCCCAATGAGGAGAATGCACAACCACCTAAATTATTCACATTAACAATATAATTAACACAAATTTTAAATTGTAAGAATAATAAAGTTATTTTGATGCAGTGACATAAAGTAGATTTACCTGATTACATCGGCCCCATCCACAAAGGTCCATTGTATATACTCTATCGTTCTCGTTGACAAATTCACTCAAATCCTACAAAGAATGAACCTCATTGTAAAATTAAAAGTTGAAATATTGAAAAGATTACATAATTCAATAGAAATAAACTTGTTTAAACTATACCATTTACTTGTCGTAAGAATCTTATAACAAAACTTCTGGGTAAATAATATTTGTAGTGCAATTCGACCCATATTCCGGAAGGAGGACAGTAATACGATCCGAAAATGTGCATCTAAATAGTGCCACATAAAAGTGTTCATGACTAGAAATAGGTATCCGCAAATCAATCCCAACGAACTTGACAGATTGTTCTTGAGCTTTATTGATTGTCATAGCATAAGTTAATCGGACAGGAAACTGACGTCTTATCATTTGAAAAGGTAAGTCCAAAGATGTTGGTGTCAATGATATTCTCGGAATGAAGACTGAATTGTCAATTTTATCTTCATTTAATATCTGAGCTTCGATTACCCTTGAGGCACATCTAACAACTATCAATCGTGTGTTATTACAAAGTCCATCTTTCGGTGTAATATTTCATAACAACATTATTGGGCATCAAACTATCAACTCCAATTTAAACGGTGGCAACCTTGAAGGATTCAATGAGTTTAAGTACTTATTAGGATATCGATTCCTAATGGTACGGTCAAGCTCATCACCTTCAGACATTTTATCTGCAGCTAAAAAAATAATTGTCTATCCCAGAGTAATATTCAGTGCTGCAGCATTTATATCACTGACGTCGTCATTGCGAGCAGATAGAATTGTGCGTTCAGTGAGAAAGGTTGGAATCACTATACCAACCACATCCAATTGTGGATAGATTATAAATATCAATTCATTTAGTTTGTGACACCAGTTTATTGTAGATGGAAGTTGCACAATTTCTTGTGGATTGGTCCCAATCTAAAAAATGAAAAATATAATTAGTCACAAAGTGAGATTTAATTCAAAGCATCATGTTATAAAATTCAATTCAAGGTGGAATGAAATATTACATCCATCAAGAATTTAGCAAAATTAGTATTTCGAACGTTTGTGTGAGTTAATCGCATTTTTAACACAGAGTCAAAACACATATATCTTTTCATAGCAAAAATCGTCTCAATGATGCACCCACAATTTGCTCGCGAACGTCTTTAGAAATAACAGACAATATTTGTCGAAAGTTTCCACCTAGGACAACAGTGATACCCCCAAAAGGTCTTTTATCGTCTTTGATATCTTGAAGGGTGCGATCAACTGTCTCGACACAGTATTGATGTTGCATAGGAACTTCATCCCATATTATGAGTTTTGTTTTTCTAAACAATTCGGCATGCATTGATTGTTTAGTGAACCCACATATTGAATTATCTAGGGTTTCCAAAGGAATACAAAATATAGAATGTGCAATACGCCTCCCTACCAATAACAACGATGCAATACCAGATGAAGCCACAGTAACAACAACATGTCCATAGCTACGCAATTTGGTTGCAATGGTATTGTACAAAAACGTTTTTCCCATCCCAGCATCTCCACTCAAAAAGAAAGTAATTGCTATGTTTTCACATACTAACGTTGTGATAGCGGTATAAGTAGCAAGTTGTGCATCATTAAAGCCGTCAACATTAATTTGTGCATCAGACTGTTGTGCTTCATTCAGAAGTTGTTGGTGCTCAAACAGTAATCTATTTCCAACTATTGCATTCCAATTTCTAATTGGTTGTGGCATGGGTGGAAAGTCAACTAAACTCGTCTCTGACTTATGGAACAATTAATTCATGAAATATAAGTCATAATATTCAATATGATCATCAGTTGGATTCAAAATACCAAACATAGTACGAATCTTGTGTGCTAAATCATCACATATATGTGCTGAGAATTGCTTCCACAATGCAAATGGATGCAATAGAAAGCATTCCGTTAGAATTATAACAAATAATCTTCTTAATTGGTATCCCGTTCTCACAATTATAGCCTCTTGAGACATTGTATTCATTCTTCATCATTTTTAAGAAGTCCTCTTGCAACACATGCTAACTTTAATGTATTATGTATAACATTATTTGTCGTGCGTAGCCAGTCAAATGAAGTAGGTCCTCTGACAATAGTTAGAAGCAAACGTAAATAAAACTGCTCACCTGAATTGGGGCTAGCAAAATACATTCTACCAATTGCATAACCCCTCTGTCTTGGAGTCCATTTATTGATAGACTTGTTCCAAATAAATTTTTGTGAAAATTCCTGATATGTTAATATACGTGCAAATTCATTTGCAGCGCAACAATCAAAAAAGTCAGTTAGAGTTGTTTCTTGACGTGCACCTTTAGAAATGATCGTATCAAAAGATTCAGTAGGGTTAAAGATCACACGATGCATCCCAAGCAAATGAAATGTCAATCTTACAACTGACGAAATCTCTTCATGTAAAGGATTACCAAACAATCGCCACGTAGCTTCTGGAGGTCCAATATACCTAGCATCAAGATATTGTAGGATCTTATTAATTCTTTCAAGTATCATTGTTGCGCAATCATGTCCTTTATAAATATACTTGTGAATGTATTTTACACATCTGATTCCTGCACAAACTTCAACATTGATATGAAAGTTGAACATTCTTGATAAGTACGAATTATGTGGCACAACATCTCTATTATCAATTTTTTGCCCCCTCACGATGTACTTCTGACCAGTATTACGACGACGATAGACAAGATATCCATCGGAGTCCATGCTTGTTGATTTAACAAATGATTGAGGGTACCGCTTGATACACACCTTATTTTCCATACATGATGCTTGTGGATTTCGAGCACCACATGGTCCGTGTACCATGCAACCTATGATTGT